CTACACGGCTTATCAATGATCTGCAATCAATCTCTGGGTGCAGGTTGTGTGTTACACATCTTCCGCTCTCACTTCTTCACGTGAAGTAGAGGGAAGCAGAGGAATGCCCTTTGTCCATTCTGATTGGAGGTAGATCACCTCCACCGTCAGCTATGTGTAAGCATGACGCAACGAAGAATTGGGAGAAGAAGATAATGTTTGAAGTTGGAAGAAGAAGAAAAAGGAGAGGTCAATTGAAACGAAATGGACAATAGAACCAAGAAATGGTCATTGTTTTTGAGTAGTACAAAGGAGAATCTGATAAAAATTCTAGAAAATTAAAAGTGTGGAAGTGTAGAAGAATAGAAGTTCTGAAAATGTACCAAGTAACTTTTTGTTCTCAATGAAAATAGCAGAAAACCAGTTCTAAATGATCAAGAACCTAATGAAGACTACCGTATTCCCTTTAATAGAAGCCCAAGCCGTCAACGTTGAGCTCGGTTATCTCGAAGATATAAAAAACTGTCAACTGATAAATTAATTATCATAATATTAAAAACATTATACCAGTTGACAAATGTTTGATATCGTTCATAGGAATCGAGTTAATTGCGCTCAATGTTGACGGTTTGGGTGAACTAGAAAAAATACTGTAGGCATTTTTTTTGCAGTCTTTGAACACTCGAACGCAGATAACCAATCAAACGGTTGTAGCCTGAATAGTAGAGTTACCTTAACCGCCCACATTCTTTTCTCCGAGAAGACCGCATACCATTTTTTGGAATTCTGCAAAATACATACTAATTTTCCTGATTACTTCTCCGTGACAAGCTACTATTCAAAAATCAACTTTTCCATATAAAGGTAAGATGTATTGGTTCTACAGTAATGCCGACATATATTTTAGTTATCGAAATATTTGGAGTTTTATAGGTAGCATTTCATTAGTTTGAAACGTTTTTCTAGCTTTTACAGGAACCAAGATAAACTGCCATATTTGCGTTGTTAGAAACCCACTGTATAAGTTCCCTTTGAGCTCAATTATCTCAGCTCCCATGAAACCTATCGAAAATGTTTCAGCTTATAAATATTATAAATATTATGATATATAATTTGTTAGTTGACGATTTTTTGATATCTTTGACAGGAACTGAGATAATTGAGCTCAAAGCGGAGAGTTAAGAGTGGCATTCTATTGGAGGGTTGTGGAGCTTCCGACCCTTCTCGACCGTGACGTCAATTTGAACCCAGTTATCAGTACGTCAATTAATACGTTTAAAATGTGTTCGTAAACATTTACTTTTCAAATTTTTAAATACCGGAAGCCAAAGTCAAAACAATCTAGGTCAATGTTAGTAGCACCTCACTTTGAAAGTTCTCAAGTACTCTCATTTTTTGAGTCGTCATATTATCCCAAAGAACCGACAAAAATCAGTAAAAACAAGAAAGTAAACCCTGAAAATAAGGTTGTTTTCAGATTACTGTAATTGCCGTTGTGGGACCTTCGGCCACGGCCACCGGCATTTCTATTCCTCAGCTCCGATTCTCTTGTACCAGTATAATAAACATAGGTGTAAAATTCATTTAAGACCTCTCCAGTTTTTCTTCACAAGTTGTGTTTTAAAACTACATTGGTTTATTGAACGATATAGAATGATACAATAGAGGCGCTTTTATACTGGTTACATGATAAAGAATTTAATAAAAGAAAGTGATTGCGGGGGATGCAATGCACATTCCCGGTGAATCCCCATCAGAAGAGTGCGATTTAGCACAAGTTGTGAATCACTACCAAAACAAACTTTTCACTTCCTCCAAATCAATTATCAGCCATTTCATGTGTGGCCTCGGGAATTTTTTTCGCTGACTTTCATCAACATTTGGATAAAAACAAGTGTCCCATGTAGTTATTTTCCTACAGTTGAAGCTATATACATGATCAAACTAAAGAGAAATAAAAACTAGACTGATTACCAAGTAATGATAGTGTTCACTTGTCAAAACAACTGTTCTTCTTCCTGATGATGATTTTTGTTATCTGTTTAGATTACTGTACTGTACAATTCTGTGTGTTTTGTTCACCGACGACTGATAAGTGTTTGTGTGTTTTTAGAAGATTCACACGTCTACAAAAAACAGCAAAAAGGTGCGGATGTACCAAACTGGGAAACATGGGAGGCCCCTGGTTTTCAAGAACTTTTAGATTCTGCAAAAAATGATGTAATCTTGCAATGTTATTTATTATGTTTTTCCGAAACCGGTCAATATCCCGGGGATCTAGAAATTTCTTCCGTGACTTGTAAGTACACGAGAAGTCAGCTGACACACAACAACCATTTTTCAATTTTTCAAGTTCCTGCAAAATAAGACAAAGTCCGTTGATTCTATAGCACGTGGGACCCAAGATTATTGGGGAACCTGATCTTTGTTTTTAGAGGTAAATAGGTAATTTATTGGGAGGTAATTTTTCTACAAATAGGGCTAAAAATAGGAATTCCATGACTATTTTTAGCTGAAACTCTGTTTTCCCTCTCCCTTTAAAAACAAAAATAAATGAGAACGAAGTTGTTTATTGACAGTGTTTTCAAGGTCATTAACTACGTTTCAATATTGTTTTTTCATTGATGAAGGAGAGTTGTTTTCGACATGTCAATTTCTTTTTCCCTTCGAGGTCATTTTGGGGAATGAACACGTTCAGATGATGGGTGTATATGTTTACATTATAGTATTATAACGACGCCGAAAACCATCTCTTCCCCGCTCTCTGCGTTTTTCCATACTTTTTCGCTTCATTTAATATCATTATTATTATCAGTTTGCAGAGAAAATGAAGATCAGTTTTTCGGGGTGATAAGCGAGTGTTCTATAGGCGCCCTCGAACAATCTTTCTAAAGAGAGTAAATGTTGTTTGGTATCTTATGCCGAATCAGCGAATTGCATCAGAATGTTGTTTACTGGAGAAGAGAAAAAATGTCCGAGGCAATGAAGCTGGAACAATTCTGATAGCTGTCAGAGTTTTCTGCTGACCGAGGCAACGTTGCAACAACTAAATTGCAATAACAAGAAGATTGGAAAAAGAAGATAGGAAGAGGAGAAACATCAATAATCAGAAAGATTGGATCTAAGGTTCCGGACTTCGGACTTCCGTTACAGTATCACTATTTGGGTGGTAAACAACTGGGGATATTGGGGATGAAGGAAGCCTTCGGTGAATTTGAAGGTCGAAAATAGCAAAAAGAAGATGAGAATTGACTTGTTTACTTGTTGGTATACGAGAATTTCAAGATAAAACTGGGATAGAGCGTGACTTCGGTAGATGGTTTCTGATGGTTCCAGTAGAAACGAAGTAACCAAAAGTCAGAAGTTACATATCTTTTTTAGATTTGCAGGAGTCTGAATACAGTTAAAGGAAAACCAAATCGTTCCAAGATTCTGGTAGTTGAATCATCTGAATTTACTGGGTCCCGCCAAATTACACGGACCAATAAAAACGAGTTTATCTTCAAACATAACTACCTTGGAAGCATGAAAATTGGTAGGAATATAATTTTACGTTTGATTCAAAGCTACTGGAAATTTCAAAGCGATTCCACAAGGCTAGGTATTGTTATGATTGTCCAAAAATGGATGTTTCTTGTGATTTTCATAATGAAGCAACTAGGAAAAACGATAACTCAGTCCAAAGTTGATCAAATAATTTGAAACTTGACAATTTTACTGATGAAATATTTAAATTTGTCCTATCCAAATTTGGACCCAGTACAACACTTTAATCAAAATTTATGACAGTACAAAGTAGAGTGCGGGTAGTTATGCGCCACACTGAATAGTCGCCACAGACACGCCAGAGGCACGCCAGACTGTCTAGGTTTCTATTATATGTGCCAGCTTGTAATTCTTATAGAGATTTTCAAAGTAGTGCATTGACGGTAACTCAAATTCAAAATCAGTAAAGTTTGGAAAATCCTTCAGCCATATTTTTGAATACCCTGTAACTGAATAAACAAAGTCAGATTTTCAGGAATTCCAAAATTTTTAGATTTTGGTATTTATATGTATTCTTGGTTTTCAGCTTTTGAGGATCCAATAAAGTTCCCAACACACACTCTCTATTCTGAAGATACACATTTCCACTATCACAAACTCCAATGATCGTCCAATTAAACGTACACAAGTACTCTCTTCTCGCTTCCGTTGGGTGTACCCATATCTCTTCTTTAGCTGACCTTTTCACGAAATAAGACATCATCTTGAAGGTATTCCCTCTCCTAAAGAAGATCGGGAAAATACCACCTTGCAGCAGTTTGGAAGTTCATAAATTACGGTATCAATCACACAGAACGATCAGATTCCAAAGGTCGATCAGAGACACAAAGGCCCAGTCATGCTAATTCTTGTTTTCGATTATTTAGAAAAGGCTAGGCTAGATTTTGCCAGATTTTGCTCTTTGCGCTATCTGGTTTGTTACGATTTTTAAAAATTCAACGTTTCGGAAAAGAAACACCGTGTCATCTGATATCAAGTGCATTCACTTAAAATTAAACTTTGCAAACTGACATCTCGAACTGCACTTTCTCTGTTCTTCTATCGCAAAAATCGCAAAACGAACTGGGTGCAAAGTCAATTTTACAATAAAAAAGAAAACTTTGTCACACGCAAGAGATGATCTTTCTTCGTCGCCCATCTTCCTTGTTATCTCTTACTAGTGGTGATAACCGGAGAAAAAAAAGAAGAAGAATTACACGATCTTTGTCTGTCAACGAGGACGAAAAGCGATATTTGCGATGGAGAAAACACCACTACCACCACCAGTCGACAGTTCCAAAGAACACGCACTCAGCGCACATCGTTCACGTGAACCTCTTTTGTGTTGTGTCCTCCTCTCTTCTCTCTCTTCCTCCCTCCCAGGGAGGCTCCGCCCACCTATCATCGTTGTATCTGTTTCCTCTCCACTTCTTATACACAACCGAGACGCCCCAGCCAGCCATTCATTCGATTGACACAGAACCAAACGAACGAAGATGCTTCAGCAACAAAACAACGAACTCTCGAATATTTTCATTCAATTTCAATCCTCACTCGCTGCTCAAAAGGTAATTTTTCATTTTGATATTTTGATCTACCAAAAACCCCGCTCAGTCGTTCGCATTCTCTAAAGAGACGCAATCAAATAGAAGAAGAGAAAGAAGAGATTATTATGGATTTCCGATTTTCTTTATCGATCATCCATCTTCTGCGTCTTCTTCCTTCCTTTTTGATGCGATTCTATCTCACTTTAGCCGTTATATGAAAGATGCCACATCTTCACCCATTAATTTTGCCAAACACAATTTCCTCATTTTCCAGATGCCATCGACTCAAGCAAGACAAGTAATGGCACATGCTCTCATCGAAACACTTCAAAATTGGTGCATGCAACTTTTCTGGATGACAGTTCTTTGCGTCATCAACTGCTGCGGAGAGGAAGAAGAGAAGAAGCCACAAAAGAAGCAACAAGAACGACCTGAGCCGAAGAAGAGGATAGAGGATATTGAGCAGAAGGTTTGTTAATTTTTTCTTATATTTAGAACTTTCTTTAACTTTTCAATTTTTCCAGATGCTCCGTCACCTCACCTCGCCACTGATTTCTGGAACACTTCGCCCAGTTGTTCGTAGAAACTCGAAGAAACGTGTGTTCTTCTCCAGACCTCCAAGCCCTCAGTTGTTCGACATTGCCGAGGAGGAGTAGATATTATTTTCTCTCAGAATAGTTTCGTTCTTCTATATCTTCTTTATCTCAATTTTCCCTCTCTCTCCCAACCCCGATCTGTTTATTACGAGTAGCTCTTCCCATCTTACGTGTAAATCTATAGGTGCCCAGAAGCCCAATCTCGCATGTTCCCCGATGCATTCAACACTTTTCCCCGATGCGAAAAATGAACAAATTTCTGATTATCTTTTTTTTCAGTTTTGTTGCATAGAAAGACTTCTGATTACTTCTTGCTCTTGTCTCATTTCCAAAAAGAGACGGAAAACATTCAGGACCAGCATGCCAAACTGCGCATACACATGAGCACGCGCTCTCTCCGCCGAGCAGTCAATACTCTTTTTTTTCAGCTGCATATCTCTTTCCCGTGCTCGTTGCTTATTCCAAGCGGCATTCCCAAATTAATTCTGTCATTTAGGAGTACGAGTTGCTTGATAAATACTAAAAATCATTCAAAAACTCTCTGAAAAGGTCTTTGCCGTATTGCATTGAAATTTTCGTTGAAATGTTGTAAAATTTTTTACTTCGTTTAGCGAAATATGTCAAAACTTAAAAACCGAACACATCAGCAAACTGCAGTTACTTTTCTTATCAATCCGACCAAAATTGAGGAACAATCTCTAAATATTTTCTTTCTTATTATTCTGATACTTGTTTGAAAATTTCTATTCAGACATCGTTTAAAGGAATTATCACTTTCGAAAAAGCTTCATCAATCAAGCTTTTCATCTTCAAAAACCGAGTTTTAGCTTGAAAACCTGTTTGTCTTTGTCGTTCTCTCATTTGCTACACTGTTCGTGAGGTGTTGTGTATTGTCTGCGAACACTGTGGCGGAAACTCACACACTTCTTGTTTTAGAGGAAGCACGTGAAGAAGAAGAATTTATAAAGTCAGCTTTTTGTCTTTTTTCAGGTGTTCAGCTATAAAAATTGTAAATTTTCTAATGATGCTAGAGTTTACGTCAATATTTTAAAGTAATCGTCCGTCAGGTTCTGGACCTGAATGATGTTCTGGCGCAGGAATGTTCATATTGGCGCCTTGATATTTTCAAACCGCGAATATCGAAAATCGACCGATTTTTGTCATCTTTTCACTTTGTTTTGTATTTCTAGTTGTCTTCCGCTCTTGTCTATTTGAGTATTCAAACATATTGTCTCCCTAATTGCAGATGTCTGGAGGAAATTGGCATAATTGGCCTCAACAGCCACCACAAAACCCCCAGCATTCTTCGCAGCATCCACAGCAATCTCAACACGACGTGTATCAACAAAACCAACCAGGTAACGAATCAGCCGGGCTTTTGTTTCAGAATTTTGCCTGCTCGGACCGTTAGGCTCGAGTTCCGTATAATTTTTTCCCTGTCTAAAAAAATAAGTCAAATTTATGTCAAATGAAAAGTTTGAAGGAACGGAATAGTGTTTTTAAAGTTTTGAAATTTTTCTGAAATTTCAAATCGTTTTTCAAATTATGAAAAACCTAGACCCTTGTTTAAAATTCACGATACTAATTTCGAAAAGGATTTCCAGGTTATGGTTACAATCAACAAGGAAGGATGCAGCATCAGCAGCAGCAAATGCGCCAAAGCGATTATGGCTCATATCCGCAACAGCAACAACAGCGACAACAAGTCCATCCAAACTACGGTCGCCCCCAGCAACAACCGCAATATCAACAAGGATGTAGGGATAATTCTCTCCAAAAATCATAATAAAATAGTTGTTTCAGATATGAACCAACAACAACAAGGTTACCACTACCAACAACAGCCGTTTATGTTCAACGCGAACGCCAACGTCTTCGTGCCAAAAAATCAAATGATGCAACAATCTTGTCAGGATTATGGATACTACACTGGTCCACCATATCAGCAGCAGCAAGGCTATGGCCATTATCAACAAGGCGTAAGTCCTTAGATGTTTTAAAGGCACAACATACAGCTAAACAATGGGAGAATGGGTAAAAGTTTTCAAATATTCTATGAGATTCTTCAGAAAAAACATTATTATAAATTGAATGACGGTAAGCTATTTCTTGCAAGGTTGTTTTTTCCAGGTTATCGATTTTTGAAAAAGTATCTAGCGCAGCCCAGGGATGTTCGTAATTGTTCGGAATGTCGAAAATTCCGATTTTCAAAATTTCTGATATTCGGAATCTCGGAATATTCCGATTTTGAAATATTCGGATTTTCGGGAATTTTTAAGTAGAATTTTGGAAAATAGCTTCGGAAAAATTCCGACAGGCATTTCATTCCGAATATGTTCAGAATTTTAGGAGTTCTGAATTCTGTTCCTAGCATCCCTGAGCAAAGTTAGAACAGTTTAGAAGAGCATAATGCTCCGGCGGAACGTGACAATGATTTTTTAGACCATTTCAAGCCAGAATCGTAGAGAAATAAACGAATTTCAACTAGCAAATGAAAAACTAGAGCACAAACGAGATACACAAACAGCGACGTTGACAATACACAAAACAGTGTGGAGGCAAGCGGGATGGTATAACAACTAGGAAGAGAAACGTGTGCGCGCTCTCGCTCTGGTGATTCGTGTCCTTCTCTCCCGGCGTCCCCGTCTCTTCCCGCCATTTGCCTCAGTTCCCTCAGTCACCCGAAAGCTGTGTTTCTCTCGCCCCGGCGGTCTCGCAGGGCATTATTCTCTTCACTCACTCGGTGTTTCTCAAATAGTTTATGTCTTTCTGTCTCTCTGTATTATCTAGGAGGAGGAGAGAGAGGGAGAGACTAAACAGTTTTTCGTTCGTTTTCCCGGTAGTTGTACATAACTTAGTTAGAGGAACACGTTCACTCTTTGTCAGGTCAAACAATCAAAATCATTCTATCTCGGTGACCAAAAAGTTAAAAAAAATTATCATTGACAGATTTTTTGCTCACTGTTAAATGTTGATAACAGTATGTTAAATGATTCATTCTTGTCTACACACAGTTTACTGTTCAAGGAACGTTAAATTTTTAATATCTAGATCCCGAAAAACAGGCTTTCCAAAAAGCCTAATTGATTTTTCCTTCCAATTTTTGACCCCAGTTGTTGACTCGGAAAAGTGTGTTGAATAATAAAAATGCAATATAAACAAGTTCCCACGTGCTCTGTCTACTATCGAACTATCTTTCAGCAGTACGGTGTTACGTCGGCTCCATCTTCATCCTACAACGCCATGTACCAACAAGAAGATGCGGTAAGTGGGATATCTTGTACCTATCAAATAATAATTCCCACTAGTTCCAGAGTATCGACGCATTTGCTCAGTTCGGTCAGCAATCGCAGCAATATCTTCCAACGAAAGAACTCTCCGATCAGATTCATCATAGCAAGTGCTCGTCGTTCCTCACTGAGGTATTCTCATTGATCAGTGAGGCAGCGATGTTCGGAATTTTTCGGAATGTTGAAAATTCCGATTACGAAAATTTAGGACTTTGGGAGTCTTGCAATTCTTCGATTTTTAAAAAATCGGAATTCCGAATCCCGTTCCGGACATCCCTGGATCTGTGATGTTCCCCCCATCTCTAGTTTCACTATTTTCAGATACTTGTTGGGTGTGAACAACTGATTGCCGAAGGAGAAGAAGATTCACCAACATGGATTGCTGCTATACGACAACGCTTCGAAGATCCAAATATGGATGATGATGCGAAAATGACTGGTGTTAAGTTGATCATCGAAATGGCTTGTTCCATGGAGTCGTCTAACAAATTCCGAAGCATTGATCCTCAAAATACATTCTCCAATTTGCTGAAGACACTGTCTAATGAGGTTCGCCGATTGAATTCAACTGTATTCAATTGTTATATTTTTTTCAGTTGAAAGATTTCTTGCGAAAATTTATTGTCCCCGCTCTCGGAGAATATCATTCGGCTCGGAAGCAACTGGATAACGACGGTCGTGTTCATATGGCCCTCTTTTACGCTGAACTATTCACCAAGCTGTTTTTGGTAAGTATTTTCTATCGTATTCTGCCGCCCTCATAAAAAACCTAACATTAGGATAATGGAAGTCGTTTCGAGAAGATTGGCGAAGCCCTTGTTGATCAGATTGATGAGATTCTGAAGTTCCAACCTAATGATGAATACTTCAAAAGTTTACTCCGTGCTTTCAAAGTAGCTGGTGCCGAGCTGGATACTTCTGAAACACTTCAACGACGTGTAGATGAGATTCTGACGAAAATGGGCGGTTTCGCTAGAGGATCACCACTTCTTGGAGAGTCCGTAAAGGCTCAGATTGGACTTCTGATCGAATGCCGACTTCGTGGATGGGATCGGGCCGCTACTAAAAGACAAGAGGCTCCAGCATATGTATCAAATCGAGATCAAGACTCGTTCGATGAGTCGACTGATAATGATTTGACAGAGGAGGAGCGGCAATTCTTGGAGAGCCATTTGGATCAAGTGGACTCTGTCCGAGGAGGAGGAGAAGATATTGACGATCAAGAAATGATGAAAGAGTTTGGAAAGTTCGTGAAAGAAGAATTGCAGCAGGCTGAGGTAAATTAAATGTCCTGTGTGCTTCTGGATGATTTTCTGGTTTTCAGGATTTAAAAACTGCTGAACTGCTTCAGAACTGTGACATAAACAAGGAAGATGACGATGAGAAAACCCCAACTGAGGAGAAATAACCTGCTGCTCTCTCTCTCTCTGCTGCTTCTCGCTTCTTCCTTAAATAATACATTTTCTTTTCCACTTTTTCTCGTCCCCACATTCTAATTTCTAGATGTCCTGAACATTAAGCTGTGATTATGTGTGTGTGTGTCTCTCTCTCCCATTAGATTCCTTCGGTTCTCGTGTTCTCTCCCGTCTTGGCTAAAGTTCTCGTTTTATTATTTTCTTTCTTCCCACCCGAATTTCCAGTTGCATATTTCTATTATTTTGTAAAACTCGATCCCAATCTCTCCTCTTTATTTTTGAACCTAATGTTTTTTTTCTTTGTAAATCAGTGAGGTTAAGATACTATTGAGGCGTTTTAGCTTTTTTTTTCGGCATAAACTTGAGTTTCTGAATTTGGGTTTTTAAAGGTTTATAGTTTTTATTTCGGGTTTGATCCTGATCAGAGTATTTCTTTAATACAAGAATTCCTCAATTTTTTCAAAATTTCGGGTTTTTGTTCAATTTTTGAGTAGAAATTCCACTTTCCCGTAACAAAAAATGCTAAAATTTGGTGAAAAATTGACAAAAATACTCGAAAACAGAAAAAAAAATTAAAAGAATTTAGCGATTTTTCGAAAGATCAATTAATTTTTTCTCCTTTTTCTCGCAAAATTTTTAGACCTTTTTAGGTTTTTCAGCTATTTTTTATTGTCGGATTAAAAAAGTGACACCTGAAAATCTCGGAGACGACGCTCGTGACGATTTACGAGGGGCGGAGCGAAAACGGATACTGTAGATAACAAATTTATTTATGTGAAATTAGTGGGATTTTCTGAACAAAATGTTGATTTATTGGTATAAAAATGATCGCTAGCATCTCTAGAATATATTTTTCAGCAAAAAAAACTAAATTTAAACGCGAAAGTAGCTCGAACGAGCCAAAAATCTGAAAAATTACGTTTTTGCCGCGCTTTTTCGTAGATCAAAAAAAGCAAAAGTTTTCAAATTCTCAGGTCCCAGTTTTTTTAAATTTGACAATAAGATTCTTTTTCGATTTTTCCGAATTTTTTGACTGAAATTTGAGGGGATGGTTTTCTGGACGGAAGATTACTGTAGATTGCTGTAGAAAATCTTGTAGTTTGTAGTTTTTTGCAAGTAAAATTTATCTGCCTTTTGACGTGATTGTGCTTGCAAAAGAAAATACAAAAGGAATTTAGGTTTCTACAGTAATCTACAGTAAGCAAAACAACGTTCCATCAAATTTCAAAAAAAAACCTGAAACATGGAAAACTAATCTTCAAGAATAGCTGAACACCCTGAAAAGGTCTAAAAAAGATTGTAATTCTGGCAAAAACAAGATCTCTGGATTCTGCCATTTGATCAATGCAGTTTGTGTTTCAAAAAGAGACGCAAACACGCTCTTCTGCGGTCCTCTCGTCGTCTCGTCCCTTTCTTATGTCTCGTCAGCTGATGACCCATTCTCTCGATTTCACAAGAATCATCGCTTCCAGTTATTTACAAAAATGACGTGATTCTTCTCTTCAGACTCCTAATAGCACAGACTCACATTTTTTTGTCTTTTAACTTTCTTCCGACCTTGTTAATTTTCTATTTCAATCTTCATACCTATTTTGGTATTTTTCAGAGAACTATTTGATGCGTTGAATGTTGCCATATTTGGCCTATCGATACGTTAAAAACAAAAGAGAAAAGAATCAGCGAGAAATGGATAATGATCTGGATTCAATGGTCCGGAGCATAGTCCCGGACAAGGTGAGATTCCCCTCGATTTTTTTAATTTTCATATTAAATGTTTCTAGCCTGTCGTCAGCATTTCTGGAGTTGCTGCAAAGCTGGAGGAGACGTCTCGTGAATACATTCCGGGAGTTTATCGATTGTTGAGAAATCCATTGGAGTTTTCATCGAATGGCGGCCATCAGAAGACCCGGATGCATCGTGGGTGATGACTTCAGATGATGGAAATAGTGAAATGGTACACTCCAGATCGCCGGAAGAGAAGCGAGATCGTGGAGCTCGTGTGGCCTTCTCGATGGATGTCAACGATTTGAGCAGTTTTCGAAATGAAGAGCCAAAAAGAGGTAACGCCAAAAGTTTTCTGCAAGAATGCTCGAAACGGGATTTCGAACAATTCGAGCATTAAGGATAAAACTATTCCTGGCCTATAATTTCGTAGGAAAAAAAATGTAGAAAACAATTACAGTCAAAAAAGTACTGAAATTCGCGAAAATCAGCGGAATTTTCACATTTTCCGCTGGAATTTTTTTCAAAAACAATTTTGAGTTATGAAACATTTTTGAAACCTTTCAATTTTTTATTAATTTTCTTGCTTTTCTTATTTGAAAATTTTAAAATTTTGAAAATAAAAAAAAATACAATTCGAATTTGCGATACTTTGAATTTCCGAAATTCCGAACAATTTCGAAAGGTCATTCCGAAGGCCGTACCCAACGTCTCTGATTTTCTGCTTTAAAATCAAAAATTATAAAACAAAACATGTTTTAGGTAGTGGAGGATTCCCATCGATCCGATTGATTTGTCGTGATGGAAGCAGCCAAGTGCCTCTTTTCTTCAGGAACTGCTCGACTGGAGAGTTCATCGATCGTCTGCAAGGGTTGGTTCTTTTTTTTGTTTGCTCTTCATCGAAATGTTCATGACTCAACAATTTCAGATACATAACTCTACGTCGATCGAATCGCGAAGCGAATCTCGTCATAGTCGTCGATCAAAAATCGGAAGCACTTGCGAAAAGTGTCAGCATGCTTGATGAGAACGGAGATATTCTTTCGGTAACTAATCGATCAGTAGATCAAGAATAGAAATAATTGATTTTCAGAGATTTATGCAAAATCCATACATGACTGCAATGACTGGATTCAGCAAAATCACCTCTTTTGTACAGGATCAAGTTATCCCCTCAGTTCTCAATGATACAGATGCAGTTACACAAGAAGAGAAGATTCGATTGATGAGAGAATTACGATTGGCTGAGGAGCAGATGCGAGTTCATTCGGATGCTGCTGGAGAGTTCGAAGTGGTCACTCAATTGGATTTGCCACCAAGACCAGAGATCTACAGAGAGTTGCCGGTTTCAAAGGAATTGTGGAATTCGTTCAAACTTCCAAATGGTTCATACGATCCACTGAAATTGCATCATCTGAAGATGAATGTGTTCCGTGGTGGACTCAATGCTGAACTTCGTAAAGAAGCATGGAAGTGTCTTCTTGGATATCGACAGTGGCATGAGACAGATGCAGAGTTTGAGAAGAAGCGTGCAGAATTAGCGAAACAATATCAGAATATGAAGAATCAATGGATGGCAATCACCGAGGATCAGGAGAAACGGTTCTCGAAATTTGTGAAGCGCAAGTCGCTTGTAGAGAAAGACGTCGCTCGTACCGATCGAACTGTTCCATTCTTCCAAGGAGAAGACAACGTGAATCTCGTTCATCTTCACAATGTTCTCATGACCTATGTGATGTATAACTTTGATTTGGGATACGTTCAAGGAATGTCAGATTTCGCATCTCCTCTGTTGTTCGTGATGAAGGATGAGGTTGATACATTCTGGTGCTTCGTTGGATTGATGGAGATGACTCATAAGAACTTTGAGAAGGATCAAGCATTCATCAAGCTTCAAATGAACCAGTTGAGAGATATGGTTATGATTGTCAATCCAAAATTGGCAAATTATTTGGGTGAGTAATAATATTCACTGTAATATTATATTTTTCAATTAAGACGATTTTTTGCAGAAAGCGAAAAATCCGATGACATGTACTTTTGCTTCCGATGGGTTCTTGTATGGTTCAAGCGAGAGTTTTCATTCCTGGACACTTGTAAACTTTGGGAAGTCCTCTGGTCAGGTCAACCATGTCCACGATTCCTCCTTCTCATATGCGTCGCCATCCTGGACTCACAAACTAACATTATCATTGATAATCAGTTTGGATTGACGGAAATTTTGAAGGTACCTGATTTCTGAATACAAATCTTCATATCAAAATATTTTTTCAGCATATCAATGATTTGTCAATGCATCTCAAAGTCGACGAGATTCTCACTGCCGCCGAAGCGATTTTCCATCAGCTCTCAGCTAGTCAGAACAAGCTTCCAACTCATATCTGCCAATACCTGAACATTGGCGAATCAGCTGTTAGCTCCAACAGCAGCAGTCCAGCGAAAGGGGACTCGAAAGATTTATAATTTACTTTTCCCACTGTTTATTATATTTAAATCCTTTAATTTGTACATCTTTTGTAATATTTCCTCTCCCACAGACTCTGTGATATATAACATGATGATTAGTGAAAAAATATCAGGAGTACCCTCTCTGCGTTTGCCAACTCTCTCCCCATTTTTGTATAAATCTCTATTGCCTCACACATAATCTAAAATATATTTTTTAACAAATTGTATCGAATAAAGTATTAGAAAATATTTCTAGCTGTTTGAAAATTGATTGGAACCTTCAGCTTAGCTATTTCTTGTGATATTTGAAGAAGACAGCGGACCGAATTCGGGCAATTGTGCGTCAACAAGCCAGAGAGTGTTTAAAAAGTTCTCCGTACAATAAGATGCTATGTACGCAAACACTCTGGAATGCTGACGCGCTAATGCACGAATTCGAGCGAAAAAGAGCCTTAACTGGAATATGAATCAAGGAAAATTCCAGAATGAACTTAGTCAGTCGAGCTGCCGGCGTATTACCTGTGGCTTCTCGCTTAGCAACCTTCCAGCCAACAGCTACCACGGGAATTAGGAACTTTACAGACCAAAAAAAGATTTCTCCTGCAACGAGTACGCTCCTCAAAGTTGATTGGCTTCTTCAGAAAATTGTAAATTTCTCTGATTCATTTTTTCAGCAACCTAATTTTGATTTTCCAGACCCCACTAGTTCTCAAATCGAATGTTCGAGACTTTATCGATATTTGCAAAGAAGACGTTCAATTCGATGATCGGATTTTCTCGAAAAAGTTGAATGGACGAACGCAATTGATGTCACACATCGCTAAAGTTCGCATGTACTACCGCTATTTGTCGCCATTCAACAAAGTTGAAGTAATTTTTGAAAAATAAAAAATATTTTCTCAAAAAAAAGCATTAATTTTCAGTGGATCGGCTCCTGTGTCTACGAGAACGAAGACGTTATTGTCGTCCTCTGGCGTCTAACAACCCTCGATTCCAGTTTCATGACCTACTTCCCATCTTTTATCACTAAAAAAGAGAACAAAATGATTGTGAAGGAAGGAGCTCTGGATGTGAGAATCGATCAGGAGGGCCATGTATTGAACATTGTCAATCGGGCAATTACAGCGTCGGATAGAGAAGGAGCAAAGTCGTTGGCTAAATTAAAGGAGCAGCAATATCAAGAAGAACTGAAACACGAGGAGAAAGAATTGAGGAAGGAGTTCGATAGACAGTACCATAGCTAAAATATATAGTTTTTTGTTCCGAAGAATTTAGAGATCTGTAGCGAAAAATCCATGTCTTTCTGTGTTGTTGATTGTTTTGTTTACTTTTTTATACATGAAAGTTTATTTAGATTGAAAATTATATATTCGCCAACCGATAAGAAATTATAATTATTGAGGGCCTTTTCTCGCATAAAAGTAGGCACACTTGAACTGACTCTGGAGCATGGACCTCCGATTGACCGTATACTTGCTATCGATTTCTTTTTCTGTTATCACTTCGAATCCCTTCTGTCTTACTCGAAGCATCACATCTGAATAGGGCAACTCGATGGACGTTTCACCAATCATATCCTCGTAGTGCCACGTCAATGGTCCCACATTGATCCAGATTCCTCCGATTGGGAGAGCGTCGTAAATGGCGTCTGAAAACCAGAAGATGTTTGTATAATAATTCGTAAAATCTAGGTTTACCTATATACTTGAATACGTCGTGGGCTGTGTCCAGGAACCATGCGGACACAATAACATCGAATTCACTGCCTCTTATAATTTCCAGAAAGTCGCCAGCACACATTGAAAACGAATTTAGGCGACTGGACATGGTTGGAACGAGTGATTTATCAGGAAAAGTGACTGCTCGAAGACGATCTTCTGAGTCCCAGCAGTTACTTTTATCAAAAAGAAATGGGTAGATTGTGAACTGATCGGGCTCTTTACAACAGTTCAAAATGAAGTATGAAGTGAACAACATGAAATAGCTGAACTCGTTTCCTTGTACTGTATACCCTTCTGTCACCAAATCATGTGCCAGCCGTCCAAGGCCACAGCCAGGAGTAAGAATTCGAACTTCGTGGCGGTCTTCAGGATTGGAGAATTTCGAATTGAGCTCTTCGATAATCGGTTGGAACGTCGCCTCTCGTTCCGGCGCTCCTTCAGACGACCACTCACGGCAGATTTGGCGAATCGTGCTAATCACTTTTGATAGGAACTCTCCAGATGGTCGACGAGACTGATGCATTCGCAGAGCCTTCGTGTGATTTTCACCAATCATCTCAGCCGCATTGTTGGCAATCATTTTGAGAATACTGAAGAGAGAAAAAAAAATGATAAAGAGAGTCAGAATCCTACAGGGATGTTCGGAACGGAATTCGGCATTCCGAACATTTTCGAATTAGAATTTTTTGAACTACGGTATGTCAAAGGCGCATGCGAGAAATTTGCATGCGGACTTCGAGCGGAATAATTTTTAATTTTTTTCTCGTTTTTTAATTTTTTTTTGTCATTTTTCATCTTTTTTTGCGCTTTTGAAATGGAAAAGCGAGGTTTCTATATCGAAATGTGAATTTTCGAAATTCCGACATCCATGCTATGATTTTTTTTCCAATTTTCCGAATTTCAGATTTTTCACAATTCAAATTTTAAAGTCGAAATTCCACTTTTTATCTCATTACAAAACGCAAAAAATGAAAAAAATATACAAAAATTTTCAAAAACGCAAAAAAAAAATAAAAAGGATTCCGCTCGAACCCGGCAAGCAAACTTTTCAAAACTCCGTTTCGGAACATCCCTGAACAGAACACTATTCCCAACCTATGATTATGATCGATTTTCTCTCTCATACTTGTGACGAACTCCTTGTTTTTGTTTGCAACAAGAGCTTGGAAATCGGCTGGGTAGAGTTTCATTTGTTGAATTGTTTTCAGAATTTTCTCTGTTCCAAATTTCCCATAAAACCCGAAAGCGTTTATCACTTCTTCAATAGCTCGCGTCTCATCGTCTACTCCCGATCCTTCGGCTGGCTCCTCGTGATCGGTTGGATGCGCCATTTAGAACTTTCGGAAACTGTGAAACCTATTTTGTGGTCACTAATGAAAACAAATATTTAAATACAAGGGACTCGAAAGACCAGAAAAATTGAACCTCGATAAATATAAATCAAGCATTTTATTGCACAGGGAAAGAAATATCAAATGTCAAAATCGAATTCATCGAAACTGTCATGATTCAATTGTAGGGGTTTGTTCTTCCTTATCGCAGACTTCGGATTCGGAGTGGTTTTTTCAACTGGCTTCTCATTATTTTTTGAATTTCTCGTTGTAGTTTTTGGAGTAGTTTTCGGAGGTGGCACCACAACAACCGGCTCATCAAAAGAGTCATCGTCGTCGAATGCGAATGAGGACATTTCTGAAAAATTGATATTATTCTGTTGGAAAGTCGGCGCTGTGGAAGAGAAACGCCGGCGGCCGTGGCCGAGGGTCTCACAATAAAAACTACCGTAACCTAAAAATTAAGCGATTTTTCGAAAGAAAAACTTATTTACTTATTTTTTCTTCGTTTTCATGCCAAATTTTAAGACCTTTTTAGGATTTTCAGCTATTTTTAAAGATTCTTTTTCGATTTTCTGGTTTTTTTTGTCTGAAATTTGATGGAACGTTGTTTTGATTACTGAGGATTACTGTAGAAACCTAATTTCCTTTTGTATTTTTTCAGCAAATACAATCACGTCAGAGTGCAAATAAAAACTACAACCTACAAGGTTTTCTACAATAATCTACAGTAATCAAACGCCGCTCCATCAAATTTCAGAAGAAAAAACCGGAAAAATCGAAAAAGAATCTTTAAAAATAGCTGAAAAACCTAAAAAGATCTAAAATTTTTTGAAAAAATCGAAGAAAAAATAAGATTTTCCCTCGAAAAATAGCTTAATTTGTAGGTTACTGTAGTTGTTGTGGTGAGACCTTCGGCCACGGCCACCGACTTCTCATGGTTTTGTACAAGATTAATACCTACTTTTACTGAATACCGCATTTTTCGGAGTTCCAGCACTTCTATCAACCGGAGCTGGCTCTTCATTTGCATTGTAGTTTTCGAAGGAGTCCACACTGGTATTATCAAATTCGTCATCTTTCGGAATCATTCTCTCCAGTCTTTCGTTTTCAAGTCGATCTTTTGTCGCCTCGACGATCGACGAATGATGTTCTTCTGCTTGTCGAACGAGTGATGACATATTCGTTATCTGAATATTGAAACGTTTCAATTTGAAAAACGACTCTGAGAATGATCCAACTTGACTTACAGTTTTGGAAGAATTATCTGCCGAGTGTGTTGTCCTAAATACATCAAACGAATCCTGTTCATCGTCCTCCTCCGGAATCGCACTCAAATTCACATGATTCGATATATCAAGAACGTCATCATCGGTTGAACGAATCGGAGTGATATCATTAGGAAATCTAAGTGATTTTTCCGTAGCTTTTGGTGTTGATGTGTGCCTTATAAGGTCAATTTTTGCCCGTTTCATGTACGGGTTAGGAGTGTGAAGAGTATCAAGGATTGTAACGTCTTCTTCTTCTTCTTCTTCCTTAGATGGTTTTGAGGATACACTCGGTGCAGCGGCGTCATCCTTCTTTCTCTTTCTTCCTTTTCCAGTTTTATTTGACTCTTGCTGATAATCCACTCCAGCGAGTTTACACGCGGCTTGTAGCTGAAAGCCCAATCAGTTAGAACTAAAAACAATAACGAATGTGTTACCAAATCAGGATTCCGTCTTGTCAGCAATGCAATATCGTCCATACCGACTTTTTGTCTTCCCGCATGTGCTGTAAATCTTGCCAAGTCATCTGCCCAATTATCGGCTACAGTATCCCAAACGAATGCGGCAACTTGATTCAAAACTTCTTCATGGATCTCCATATCCATTCCATTCCGTCCACCGACGCGTAGAGCAACCGAATCGGCTGTTTTGAGCACACCGAGTTGGAGAGCGCCTTTCAGTTCCTGATTTTTTTTAGTAGGAGAAAAACGACTTTAATATTTATTTCAATTAAAGAAAAATACATCTGGCCTAAATGATACAAAATGCATTTTGATATTTTCAAATGCTATTTTAGCTATTACAGTCTGTACGAAATGCTGAAAAGAGAGATACTTCATCACTACCTAAAACTCACATAAAATCAGATCACATAAAAAATGCTACCAAAAATGGTACATATAAATCACAGTTTTGTTTTCAAAAATCAGATTGAAATGGCTCCTGGACGTTTCAGAACTTTTCTGTATTTTTGCATAGTGGTTTTTGCACACCAAAATAGTATTACTCATTTCAATTTGTTGTTTTTCTGCTTTTTCATTCGTTCCCATCTACTGTACTCCAAATAATGAGTGCACACCAACTGGGAGGAAAAGAAAAAGTGATAGGAACCATCTGGGAGGAAAAATGGGCGGAGTCGGGGGCGGAAGGTTTTGCCGCACGGTTTTTTCATGACCAGGTACAAAAATGGTAAAAAACAACCATGCGACAGACCCCTGCGAGGGTTGCAAATTAGGCTCCGCCCCCAACTCAGCCCATTTTTCCTCCCAGATGGTTTCTACCATTTTTTCTTTTCTTCCCAGTTGGTGTGATCTCATTATTTGGAATACGGTAGATGAGAACGAATGAAAAAGCAGAAAACAAAACAAACTGAAATGCGCAATACTCATTTGATGCACAAAAACCACTATACATAAATGCAGAAAAGTTCTGAAACTTCGAGTTCTGAAACTTCCAGGAACTCAAATGCTTATGTACATAAATATCTCTCAAAATACAATCGAGTTATACTCCATGAACCGGTGGAACTAGCCAATTCTCTTCAAAGTGATTATCACTGGATACTTTTCATCCTTCTCTTCACCGCTACTCCAAATTCTCCCAATCTTCTTATCGAGAATCGAATTGATATCTGTATTCAACTCAACGGCAAACTCATCACACCACGAAGCCTGCACATAATCTAGAAACTTCTGAAGACTCTGTTTCCTACGTGGGCTAGATATCACTGCATGTCCATTGGGTGCCAGGTGAGTGTGAATACACTTCATCAACGACTCGTGGTACTCCGTAAAAAATACACAATCCGCAGCCAGAATAGTATTAAATCTTGCCGTCTCTAGTAGGTCTTCACCCCATATCAACTGACGGACATGAATCCGATCTAGTAGATTTGGATTGGCCATTCGAATCTGTTCTAGCGAGCTGATAGATTCCATATTCCCATCTGTTATCCATACTGTAGTTTCGGGAAATCGTTTGGCAATCAGGAAGCTAGAGAGGCCCAGAAATCCAGCACCAAGCTCAAGGATCCTGTTCCCTGGTGCTAAAAGAGTTGAATAATGCTTCTGAATCATCCATGCCAGTGCTTCACTGCCAGGCCAAATTCTCACATTTCCAGTGTTGTCGAAACCAGATGCTAGCGAATGCAGGGATATTTCCTTTTTGGGCGGGAAAAATTTGAAAATCCTCAAATGAGAATCATCGCCGCAAAAATCATCCAAATCAGAATCGAACGATGAGTTGTCTCTCTGATTAATCCACATGCAATCAATGTCACATTTCACATCAAACAGTATCAAAGAGTCAGCAGTGGACGACGACGACGACTTGCGTGATTTATCAAGAGTCTCGCGAAGACGTTCTGAGAAAACCGACCAGTTACGACGTGCACGTATTGACGATGTGGATGATGGCGCTGATGACGTGGCAGATGAAGAAGTGGGTGAAGACGAATCAAAGGAACCAGAAGAAGGACAAGAAGACAGCTTGAGATGAGTCTAGAGATCAGGAAGTTTACCGTTTTTGTATACTAATCTAGTCTTATTTCTATTCTAATATTTAGAGAAAAAAGGAAGAGAAAGCCAACCTTCTCGTCGACGAAATCCACTTCCTCCCGGCCATTCTTCTCCTCTTCTGCATCTGAAATTCGTTTTAAAATGTCATTGATATAAATAATATAAACATTTAGCGACTTTTCGAGTGAAAAACTAACTTTTTCTTTATTTTTGAGCCAAATTTTGAGCTCTTAATATAATTTTTTCTAAATTTTTACATTTTTTTTCGGATTGTTTCTCTGTTTGATCAAAAAAAAAATCGAAAAAAATTTTTGATCGAAAAAAATCACATAAGGGTCCCTCCTGTGTTTCTTTAAATTTTCTTTCAATTTTTCCCTGTGTTTCTTTAAATTTTTAAAACTTGTGAAATGACGGGTCCGCGGGCCGGGCCGGGCCTCCGAAATTCGGAAAAGCCTGGCCCGTTACAAGTATGATTTTTTTAGTCTTAAGTTTGATGGAACGTTGTTTTGATTACTGTAGAATACTGTAGAAAACGGATTTCCTTGTTTTTTGCATACACAATCACGTCTAAATGCAGATTGGTTTGCAAAAAAAAAACTACAAACTACAAAGTTTTCTACAGTAATCTACAGTAATCTTCAGGAATCAAAACGAGGTTCCATCAAATTTCAGACAAAAAAAAACCGGAAAAATCGGAATAGAACCTTTGAAAATAGCTGAAAACCTCAAAAAGGTTATAAAATCTGTGTAAAAAAATCCAAGAAAAAATCAATTCTTCTCGCTTTATTTCCTCGATTTTCGTGCGTTTTCAGTCGATTTTTCACTATCAAAAACTTTAATTTTCGACTTTTTTTCGGGGAAAATAACTGAAAAATCGACGAAAATCAGTGAGAATCGTGAAAATTTCCTCGGCAATCAATAGCTCACCTTTCTTTTTTCGACTCTGAGGTCCACCCGTTTTCTTCTCTGCTTGATTGCCAAACATCTGAAACATCAATTTTAATAGTAAGATTTCAAAAAAAACGAAACGGAGAATATAAGAAGTGTTAGAGAACACATGGACGATTCAAGTAAGAAATAACAAAAACAGGTTTATTAAGTAACAGTAAATCAACAGTGAGAATATACAAAACAATAACAGAGATTTCGATTCACGAATCTTGAATGAAGATCATGAAATTTCTGTTAATCCAAATGATTTCAACGTTTTCATGGTTTCCTTCTCAGCACATCCAGAACGAACAATACGAAACTTTGACTCCACTGTCAGGTCCACAATCGTGGATCCTTCTCCAGTTGACACAATTTGTCCATTATCCAGAATCAAGTCAATATATGGTTGCAAATCTTTGAAATGATCGATGGATGTTGGATTGAGAGGAGAACCACTGACATTTGCTGATGTCTGAGCCAGCGGTTGTCCTAGTTTCCTACATATCATTGACACAATCGGGCAGTCTGGGACACGACACGCCACGTTGGCAACTCCAGGATTAAATTCAGCAGGAAGCGTCGGAAGGCGTTCGAACATTAATGTGACTGGGCCAGGGAGCAAGCTGGAAAACAAAAACATCCTGATTATGAATCAGGAAATCGCTTACCAGTTGGCCAGCTCGTCTGAAATCGTCTGCTTCGAGACTAATTTCATAGAAGTGGGACTTGGCAGAAAAATACCCAGTGGCTTTTCAAACGGACGTTGCTTTAGGGCATAAAGTCGGTCGGAAAACGGGAGAAGAGTGGAAATTCCGTAGAGAGTGTCCGTGGGAAGAGCCACAATTCCTGGGAAAGGAGGAGGTGTGGGGTTGGATCAGAATAGAATATTCTAACCTCCTCTTAAGAAGACAGAAACCGCTGTGTCAATAGCCTCTTCCATGTTGTCCGCGGACAGCCTTAGGATTCTTCCGGCTGCTGTCATGATTGCGCTGAAAAAAGAAGATACGAATTTGAATATTATTCTGGAATCGGAACTGTGGAAGAGAAAGTCTGGCGCCCACGGCCGAACTACCGTAGTTAGCAAATATTTTTTGAAAGTTTCATATTATTTTCGATTTTCGCCCGGTTTCCAGCAACTTTTTAAATTTAGTGAAACTGTATGTGTTGACAAAATACATTTAAGTCTCAAATTCATGAACGATAGGCAAAAATTCTGACGAGCTACGATTTTTTTCGCGAAAAAATTCTGACGAGCTAAAAGAAAACAGGGCGAGTACGGTTGTCAAAATACCGAATTATTTTTTGAAACACAATAATAACCTAAAAATTTAAAAATTTTTCGAAAGAAAAACTAATTAAACTAATTTTTTCTTCAATTTTTTTGCAAAACTTTTAGACCTTTTAGGTTTTTTAGTTTTTTCAAAGATTCTTTTTTGATTTTTCCGGCTTTTTTGTCAGAAATTTGGTGGGACGTTATTTCGAATACTGAGGGTTACTAGATTAAATACTGTAGAAAACCTTGTATTTTGTAGTTTTTGTTTGCAAACAGAATTACATCAAAAATTCTGTTTGTTAAAAATACACAAGGAAATTTCGTCTTCTACAGTAATCTACAGTAAACGAACATTAAATTTCAGACAAAAAAAACCAGAAAATCGAAAAAGAATCTTTAAAAATAGCTGAAAAACCTAAAAAGGTCTAAAAATTTTCCAAAAAAAAAACCAAGAAAAAATAAGTTTTTCTCTCGAAAAACCGCTTAATTTTTATAGTAAATTTTTAAGGCTAAAAAAATCTAGAATTTTCGACGAAAAAACCATATCTTCCAGGCTTTTCGAATAAGATTTTTTGAAATTCGAATAAAATTTTTTAAAATTAGAATTTTCCAAGATTCAGATTTTCGACTTCAACAAACATAAATAATAGAAGCAACAAATGCAAAGAACTATATATCTGGATCTTTTAACCACTATAAGCTGATGACAAGCATAAAAAACATGAATAAAACGTCTTTATTGATTATACATTTCATCATATCGGCAGATTTTCTAAATGCACAGTGAAGATTGATTGATAGGATCAAAATGAAACAAGAAGAACATCAGATAAAGTAACACCCTGAGATAATTATTGAAGGAGAGAATGAGAGAGATTTAAAAAATCGAGATTCCGTTTTATTCTCGTATTAGTGCATGCACTGGGAGGAAGAGATTATTGAAGCAAGGTTTTCGAGGTCAGAGGAAAAGTGGCTGAGAAAAAAGAGAACATAGAAAAAAGAGAAAAAATAACAACGAAAAGGAAAAAGTTTAGCTATTTCATGTCATTGAAAAAATCCATGATACTCGCTGGCTCATCACGTCGCATGGTTTCAGCAACGACTTCTGAAGGAGTTGAGATGTTAATCAGGTCACTAGAATACATAGGCATTATACTTGGGCTGAACAATGCTCTCAATGGACTGTAAGGACTCAGGAAGAGACCACGACCAGGAGTCTCCGGAACATACGGGGTGTTGGCTGAGTTGGCAGAAAAGGATGGGAGAACAAATTCTTCTGAAAATTAAAATATTCAGGTTGTTTTACAAAACCAGATGATACCGTCATCTTCCGGATCTAAATCAACGGGTTCCAATTTGATTTCTTTTGATTTCGAGGGGCTATCAGTTAGTGATAAATCATGATCTTGTGACAGTAACTGTTCTTTTTCTGGTTTCTCTTCATCATCCATTCCCCGCGGCTGTTCATTGTTAAACAATAGAGCATGAGATTTCACTCCACTTTTATTCTTGACTATCATATCATAGCAACCACTTGCAGCTGGATCCGTGACTTGGACTTCAAAATGATTGTCTACATCATTATCTGACTTGATGATGATGGATTTAGAGTTTGCATCTGCTGTGCTCCGTATGTCATCCTTGCGTATATAACTGAAAAATTCAGAAACATTCAAAACAATTTGCTTCAGACTTACTTATAAGGCCTCGCTATAGGATCTTCAAAGTGCATTCCTATGATGGCTTGCGCATCCTGAATCATCATTTCCAGAATTTTCTCCTGCTGCCGCATCATTTCAACAGTTGCTTCCAAATGGTTCTGCTCTTCGCTTCTCGTAGCTTCTCCGCTGAAAACAAAGTATTGAAACTCTTCGCTAGATAGGTGACACTTACATCCACTGAATATTATTCTTCTCAATTTTCTGCACATATCCGAGCCCTTCCAAAACGTTGATCACATCGTAAACTCGTCGCTTCGGAATGTTCAACTCTTTTGCCACTGCGTTCAAGTTCATTATCTCATTCTTTTGTCGTAAACTCATAAATCGTTGAGTGATGAGACCTAGGGATTGCGACTACGGAACACCTCTTTCGAACTAGACTCTTCCTCTAATAAATTGCCAACTGTTGACAGACCAATTTTCGCTGGATCTTCCGGACTTCTTTTTCGGCGGCTCATTTTTCTGTTGAGATCTGAAAATTCAGTTGAGAAGAAGAGATCAGGGATGTTCGGAACGGAATTCCGACCGGAATTTTTCCGAAGCTCTTTTTTCGGAATTAGAGATTTTTGGACTACGGTATGTAAAAATTGCTTGCGAGCAGAATTACTTACAATTTTTGTGCGTTTTCAAATTTTTTGTTAATTTTTCACCTATTTTCGGCGGCTTTGTGATGGGAAAACGGAATTTCTATTCAAATTTGACTTTTAACAAATTCCGAAATTTTCAAAATAGGAATATTCCGAGATTTTTTGAAAATTTTTAGAACCTGAAATTTTTAAATTCGGAATTTCCGACATTCCGAACATCCCTGCAAGAGCGATTAAATGGATTTACAAGTATAAAGGCTGCGAGGGTGACGCATAGAACTTTAAAAAAGGAAAGGAAATGAAAGAAGACCAAATATTCATTCAGATATAAATAGGCAACAAAGAAATCAACCAAAATAAATAATACATTATTTCTTCCCCTCCACCATGATCACATGATAACCGAACTTCGTCTTGACTGGTGGATCAGTGTAGATCGGCTTGTCGCAGGAGCTGTTCGATAGAGCGAATGCAGCATCCTGAAATGGTCCCACCATACTACCACGTGTCATCCATCCCAGGTCTCCTCCACTCCTCGCTTTATCCTCGCTGTACTGGGCGGCCACTTCGTTGAACTTCATTCCCGACTTTAATTTTTCGATTGCTTCCAGAGCCTTGCCTTGTTTCTCACAGAGAATATGACGAACCTTGACGGCGGTTCCTCCTTTCGCCTCCTTCTTCGGAGCATCTTCTTTAGCGGCTCCTCCCTTGGCGGGCTTCTTTGGTGGCATCTGATCACTTTATGATTAAAAGTTAAGAGAAAAGAATATTCTATATAGAATGAGCAATATGAAATGTGTAGTCAAACACGAGAATTTGAACCAGAAGAATAGATATAATAACTTTCTTTCTAATTAATAACTCACACATATTAAAAAGGCAAACAAGAAAAATCTCCAAAACAACATGAAAAATTACAAGTTCTAAATCCACTATCGCCCTCTTCCTCTTCCTCTTCCCCTTCCTCCACGTCCTCCTCTACCACCTCCTCTACCGCCACCTCTTCCTCTTCCACCACGTCGTGAAGACTGTGTGTTCTTCTGTCTAGACTCTTCCGACAGATACGCGTGATTCATATTGATAGCATGCGGATACTTTTTCATGGCATCACAGAAGATACATCCTTCATAAGTTCCCGACTCGTATTCCACTCCACCAGTCTTCCCTGGCTTGAACTCCGCCTTCACATACTGAGCACCACACTCCTCACAGCTGTTCTTTTTGTCCACTCTCACTTTCATTGCTCCATCGAACAATCCGACGACAGATGGACATTTATTGCAGGTCATTCGCCATTTTGGATGAGATTGGGTGTCCAGGAGCATCACACCGCCACAGTCTTGAAGACAAGCGCAAACTCCATTGGAGCTGGAATTGTTTGTTTTTTGTTTAATTTTTCTTTTCTTCAAACCAAATATTCCTACCTAATAGAGTACTGACAAGATGGATGCACACAATTATCACAACCAGATCCTTGTGGCATTTTTTCGAATGGTGGATTATTGAAACAGAAGGGACAGAGAGTATATGATCGAGCCAATTTTCCACCGGCGCCTTGCCATAAAATGATATCAAAGTCATCGAGAGGGCACTTGTGATCTCCGATAACTTTCAAAACCCCATCCTTGGCGTTCGGTACAGAATATGTTTCTTGGCACGTTGGACAGAAAAGACGTTGGGGTTTGGTCTGCACCAACTTCATATATCTTCTACATTTTCCACACCGAGAGAATGGTTTTCCAGTGTCTGATAGAGTTGTGAATGAGGCTTCGAACAGTGTGTCAACGGCTGGAATATTGTTAACAAAGAACTGGAATTTCATTTCGAACATTTTCAGTGCATGGTTTTTGACATCATGATAATCCGCCTTCCCACTAGCAACTAAATTCAATTGCTCCTCCAACTCTGCTCTCATCGTCGGCAATACCAATTCCGGATCAACTTTCCAGTATCCTCTAACCAAACATTGCCCCAAACGAGTTGGAACAAGTCTCCGCCCACTCTCCACGGTAACATAGTTTCGTTGAGTGATAGTGTTGATGTGAACAGGAATAGAGGCATCCGTACCAATACCGTGTTTCTCCATCAACGTAATCAGCTCGGCTTCAGTTAGATATCCAGGAGGAGTTGTTTCACGCGCCTGTATTTGGGCATCTCTGAAATTTACTTTGTTTGTGTGTGATTGTGTGATGAGATTTTAAAAAGCTTACTGAAGTTCGATTTTAGCTCCAACTTGCTGCAAACTCTTTGGAACACTGCATTCCTCTTCGACACCCAACCAAGGCATAATTGCAGTGAATCCGGGATCCACGACATTTTTTCCTTGAATGGTGAACTGTTCTTCACCGCACATCATCTTTACTGTTGTCACTTCATAGATACATGGTTTCATTAATGTTGCCACAAAGTGTTGAGAAACGTATTCGTAGATTCGTGCCATGTCTCCAGACAGCCCTCCAGTGTTGGCTCTCATCGGAGTAATCGGAGGGTGATCTCCTTTATCCACTCCACTCTTTGGTCGTTTGATTCCTTCTGCTAGTACTTGCGATACCACTGAACCCCATTTCCTGTCTCCTGACAAGATTTTGAGTGTGCCATTCAGATCGAAATTCGCTGGATACGCCGTAGTTTCCGTTCTTGGATAAGAGATGTATCCTTGAGTGTAGAGCGATTCTGCTACGTGCATTGTGGTAGACGGGCTTAAGCCAAGGGAACTACTGGCAACTCTCATCAGTTCTACAGTATTCAGAGCACATGGACGTTCCTTTCTCGCTTCTTTCTTGCTGACATCGACCACGACTCCAGTGTGGGACTTCTGAGAAGAAAACTATGATTCAGAGGATGTATAGACCTTGTACCTTGATTCTATCAACGAACAATTTTGCGATTTCAGCGTCGAAAATTCTGCCACGTTGCCATTCGGGTGAGAAAGTTTGTGAGTCACAGGAGAACGTCGTCTTCAGAACCCAGTAAGATTCCGGTTTGAACTGCACAATCTGATCGTGGCGTGTGACACAGAAACCGAGAGTGGGAGTTTGGCAAGGTCCATAGGAGATGACTGTGCTGTCAGGTCTCCATACTTTCCCTTAAATTATTTTCACATAGTTTTTTTTTCTGGTTTTAATTACGCCTATCAATTTTAGAACATTTTGACGGTGGGAAATTATAATACCTGGAAAAACTTGGTCTGAAACCGTGTGAACGAGCATCCGATACGTAGATCAAGCTCTTGTCTCGCATCAACAGACAACGCCATATTCTGATCCGGACGTCCCAGATTTTTCATCGCCGCTTTCAGATCTTTCTCAGTGATAGCTGAAAAATGTGCTCGATAGACATCCGACATAAAGTCTGGCCGATTTTTGAACATTGCTGATTTGACCGCGTCGATCACCTAAAAACATGATTGATTCAAAAATCCATAAAACGATTTAAGCCAACCTCAAAGCAAATATTCTCTCCTTCCTTGTCACAATCCAACCACAAAACTAAAATATCGGCAGTTTTCGCTTCGGAGGCCAGAAACTCGTTCATCTTCATTTTCGCATTAGCCTCGATTTTGACAGCTGGAGCACTGTAGAGCTCGGCTGGATCGACGCGTTCCCAATTGTTGTATTTCGAAGGAAAGTCTAGAGACATCACATGCCCACAGGTACTTGTGACTTTGAATTTTGCGTTTCTACCGTTGAATTGGCCATCGTATTCGCTGACTGAGCAGACACCATTCCAGCCTGGAAATAGTACAAAGATTTTGAAGAGTTTCTGAATAACGAACCTTTTCGTTTTCTTGCTTGCCCATTTGATAGAAGATTTGCAATTGAATCTGCCAACATAGGCTTTTCAGCCACCATTAAGACGGTTGGAGTCATCTGAAAACAAAAGGGACATCTGGAAATAGAGAAGACAAGAACAGAGGAATCAAAAAGAGTTCTAGAAAGATCTCTACAGATGAAAAAGAATCTGGAAATCAGCAGGACAGATGATAATACGATATGATATATTTTATAAATCAATTTACCATTTTTGTTTAGCAGTTGACAATAAATAAGGAAAAGAGTTTTTTTGGAGGAAACGTACATAAAATGCAAAAAGGGGCAAAAATGTCGTGTTAGGTGCGGCGGTTTAAAGCGCTATATGCTTATTTTTCGAGGAGGTGAACTAGGAGTCCGAAGGAAAGGTGAATTAGTTATTGGTAGGGGTTGTGGTGTTTGTGGTGGTGCTGGTGGTGGGGGCTGATGATGCTGATGTTCCGTTCCCATTGCCTGTTGTAGAGGACTCGGAGGTGGTGGGAGAGGGCTTTGGTGGAGCTGTAATGGTGGGAGCCGAAGAATAGGAGGAGGCAACGATGTTTGAGGAAGATGTGACGAGAGGAGCGATCTGAAATCTCCCTTAACATTTAGTTAGCGAAAACTCTTGCACGGTCTGATAACCACAGATAAACGCTAGTTATCAAAATTCCATATAAAATATCTTCACCTGTTTCATTTGTTGAATTTGATTCTGCAAATTACGCATGTGAGCCGATGATGCAGACGCTGATGTTGCTGCACTTTGAGAAGGAACTACGTCGAAAATCACGCTAGTTGAGCTGACTGCTTTTCTGGTCGGGCGTTGATGTGCCGACATTTGCTGGAGAACATAATTGTTGGCCTGATCCACAACTTCCGGTGCGCAGTTTTGTCGATAGTAGGTGCATTCGTATTGAAGCTCGCGCATCTGATATTCCAGCTCGGCAATCGTATTTCTCAACGTATCGACTTCCTCGCGTACTGCATACGTCAAATGGGTCTTCACTAACTCCATAGCCTGCTCGATTTTGTTATCAATTGGAGTGTGAGAATCCGTTGTCGAAGGCGTATTCAGAGATGAGGCGTTCATTGTAGCCGCTGGAGCTGCTGGAAGAGCGGCTCCGGACGACGAAGCAGAAACGGGGACCGATGTGGACACTGGTGATGACGCGGGGGCAGTTGTTGGGGCAGTTGTAGTAGTGATGATTGGCGGTGGTGGAGAATTTACATTTGAGGAGGAGAACACTTCATCGAAGACCGGGACTATGTGAGTCTCTTTTGGAGTTCCATAAGGAGTTGAGTGGGGTGCACTGATTGGTGCGGCAATCGGGATTCCACAAGCATCCAAGCTTCCCGCCACTTCTGCATCCTTCTTTTCCAATGCAGCCGACACAGTTATCATCACATTCGTTGGTGTTTCCACCTCATCTACATGGTCGAGACGATCGGCTGGGGGTGGCATTAGAGCTGCATCGATAACGTTCTTAACCGAGTCCATTGACATATTCTTGCTCTCTTCCGTCTAAAATAACTTTTGTTTTAGATGAATTTTTAGGACCAGCAGCTTACCTGAATCACTTGGAAGGTTGGCTCGCTGAGTGGATGATGAGCGTTTGGTGACGGGGCAAGAGTTTCGATGGATGGAGCTGGTGCAACTGGAGCCGGAGTGCCTGGCTCGCTCAGTACCACTGGTTCAACTTGGAAGTGGCGAGTTGCTTTTGAAGTCTCCACTGACAGGGAAGCAGTAGATTTTACAGATGTGAGACTTGGCTCGGCGAGCTTCTGAGCCTCGACCTTCTCATCGTTCGAAGGTTTACGACTTACATGGGGGGATAGCGAGTTCTCAACAGCCGATTGAATCTGGAAAAACTTGAATACGATGAGATCTTTGTTCATTAAGTTTCCTACTTACCCCAGTATCAACAACTACCATACTCGCTGGCGGCGTATTCATTGGAGTAGGTGGCACTTGTTGGACTTTTTCATCCGACTTATTCTCAAAATCGTCAATCGAAAGCTCCCGTATCTGATCATATCTATCCGGAAGTAGCGAGTTCGACGTCTTCCGAACAATTGTCACCCCATTCTTCCGAGTTATTATGATACTTTCCGATGAATTCGATAGGTCATCTAGGTTATCCGGCTCCTTGGTCTCAACGGAAGTCACTTGAATTGTGCTCTCTTCTTGTGGCTGGCGTAGTTTTAAGAATACAGAAATTCTGAAAAATATACATAATTAGTTGGCTTTATATTGAAAGCCTACTTCTCTGGATTCGCCTCCTCTTTCGTCTTGTTTTTCTCGAACTCGAGCGTCTCCGCGTTCGGATGGTATGAATCGCGGCACTTCCATCGCCCTCTTGTGAACTCTCCCGGTACCGGAACGAACTGGAACCGAGATGGTTTCGGTTGCGGAATGTCGGCGACGACCGGTGCGGACGTTTCACCCATGTCTAAAACGATAATCAGATTTTATTGATTTCATTCTGGTATTAAAAAATCGGAGAAGTGGAAGAGAAAGGCCGTGGCCGAAGCTCCTACAATGACAACTACCGTAACCTAAAAATATTGTTATTTTCGGCATTTTTTTGGTTTTTTACTGATTTTTGTTGAGTTTCCTGCTCTTTTTCCCAAAAAAAATTGCCTGAAAACGCACGGGAATCAGAAATCAATACAATAAATCCGGAATCTGAAAAAAATGAGATGTTTCAAAAATTCGAGAAAAAGTGATTTTCGAGAAACTTAAAAATTTTCAAAATTAAAAAAAAAAGAGAATACTTTTAGGTTACGGTGGTTGTCGTTGTGGGACCTTCGGCAGATCCGATTTCTTTGTACCAGTGAAAAATTGAGGAAACATAGATAGAATTTCAGGGATTGCAAACCCTGTATCATCGGAAAAAAATCAAATCCAATTTTTTAAAGAAATACTCATAAATAAAAGAACAACAACAATAACAAAAATTTCAACAACAAAAAAAATAAATCAACGGAATTTAACAGGTGGTTGTCCTTCTTTTAGCTTCGGTGGCCACTCCAGATCCACTTTCTCCACGTCCAACTCCAGAATATCGACTTCGCCATTCTCCACATGCAACAATTCCGCTAGAGAAGGACGAGTTCTGCCAAAATCTCCATGAACAAACTCCTTGATATAGGTTCCTGCTTGAGTCTCAAGTCGAACTTCAAAATGATGATCGTCTAATTTCAAAAAGTCCATCGAGAAAATCGTTCGTTCTCTGTCCAACAAAGCTCGCCGTTTCATTACACGAACTGGCGTTTTTTGAACGATGGTTAATGGAATTTTGGATCGAGCGGCGGCGAATTGCTCATCGGAAATTGGCAGGATACTGTAGCAATAGGCACAGTATTGTTTTCTTTTGTCTGAAAACATAATTTTAGGATTTAAAAAAAAAGGAAAATTACCTTCTTCACCAACACACAATTTTTCTGCAAGTTCTCGAGGTACTCTCGTCAGCGAGTTGATTTTGATATCTTTTTGGGCATTGATAGTCTCTTCCACGGATTTTAATGTTTCCAGATAGTTCAATCTGAAGGTTATTCTTTTGTTAGCAATTATTTCTCATCGTCAACTTACCCTCTAACGGGCAGAGTGATTCTACAGTTTCTCAACTCAACGACAAACGGTCTTCCATTTCCGAGCATCCGTACATCAATATCCTCACGGCCAGAAGTGACGAATCTGCTGTCACTGGCACCGAATTGTTTCTTCAGAACGTCACATACTTTTTCAGACACCTAAATATCAAATTTCTTAAAAATTCAAAATTTATAGCTTACCGAGTTTCCTGGTTCTCTTGGTGCATCCTTATCTTCACTCCACGGCGATTGTGGAAGACATCTAGAATACTTGCAATATCTTCCGGCAACGAAAACTGGATCTCGCTCGAATTGAAGACTGAACGTACACTTTCGAGTGGGAGATTTGAAGACGTACTTTCTGAACTTTATCATTGATGTATTTATCAAAAAATCATAAATACACTAACCGTGCGATCTGTTCGTTGATTCTACCAGTGACCTGTTGTAACTGTTGTTTTGAGCAACTCGTTGGGGCTTCTTGGTGGCTGTATCTGTTCCGTTTTCCAACACGAAAATCGTTCGGGAATGCGCTTTGAAGGAATTGCAAATCCGTAAAATCTGATTCGTCTTGCTCGAAAGTTATCATCAATTGTAAATCCGAACTTAGTGTTGGACGTTTTCCAGAATACTGAAACAAAGCAAAACGATAAATTAATGTTTTCAAAATTCAAATTCAACTTACAGAGCCTAGTTTCTTCAGATATCCATCAATATTTCGTACTTTATGTGGAACTTGGACGAGGGTTCCATTGAAATCCGGCCGGAGTCGATTGACTAGAATCTCCCTGTTCTTATGCTGGTAAATAACTTCTACGCTGACAATCTTACCTTAACGTTTGACCAACGGGAAGATTCAAAGCTAAAATGAAGCTGTTTGAGTCGTATGGAAGTTTTTGAAGCTCCTCTTGAACCTTTTCTCCAACCTAAAATAGGTAAAAGTCGACAACAATTTGTACTAAGAAATTTATGAAAACCTCGTCAATCATTGATTGATCCATGATTCCAAAGCAAAGTTGGCATTCGAAAGATTCCGAACATGTTGTTACGTTCTCTGCGTCTCCTGAAATCTGACGAACACAAAGCTCACAGAAGACCAAAGGTGTTTTTTCGCTGGACATCTGAAATTTTCGCAAAATACAGAGTTTTAATAGGAAATAGGGTGACATAAAAAATTGATAAACAATTTCTGACACTTTCGTGTAATCTAATCTATTCTCTTCGAGACGGAATGAGGGAAAACGATGCGAAACAAAAAAAACAATTCGATTGCGTCCGCAATATTGCGTCAGAGTGTACTGTCTGGTGCGTCTTCAGTTCGCGCACTCTCTCGTTTCGAGCTGATCGGCGAGCATTCGTGGAAATGAAACATAGATTGGGAGCGACATCGGAGAAACATCTGTGTCGTTTTTTTTCATGATTTTTTGTATGCAGAAGAGAAAAAAGGTTTTTATACACAAGAACAACGTCTCCAACAATACTGGTCGAAAACCATCGCAGCAGGAAGCCCAAAAAAAGTGAATTTATGCGGGAAGCAAAAATTGTTGAGAAAAATGTGATGGTTTCGGTCAAAATGTGTTAATAGCAACACAAACAATTGAACAGAACAAGAAGCGAATGTTTCGTAACATTGCAAGCGGAACATTTTGCATAGGACCATGTTCAAGGTCTTGTGATCCGTAAAGATCACATGAAGACTGGGGTGTATTCATTCAGATTTCAAAAAGTCTGTATTATGCTTGTATAAAAAATATGAGATGTGAAAGTGAAAAGTTAGTAACTAGAACTACCGTAACCTAAAACCTTCGGTCCTTTTTTCTCGATTACTATTGGTTTTCGACAAATTGTGTGTTGAAAACCTCCAAACAAGTTGGAAAAATGATCGGAAATCTATAAATATGGATTACTCGGGTATAAAAAAATCAGAGCGATGAACAAAACACCGTAATTTTTCCAGTTTTTATTGTCTGAAATTTGATGGAACGTTGTTTTGACTACTGAAGGTTACTGTAGATTACTGTAGAAAACTAACTTCCTTTTGTTTTTTTTTGTTTTTT